ACGTATATGTTCGTTAAGTACATCTGTACGTGCTGATCATCTATTCATACTAACGTTCTTGAAGTTGTGTGAGAATGCGTTTATTTTTCTGCAAATTTATTCAGCTTCCTCCCCCCCCCTCTCCCCCATATAGTTGCATATGATCATCTATTCATACTAACGTTCTTGAAGTTGTGTGAGAATGCGTTTATTTTTCTGCAAATTTATTCAGCTTCCTCCCCCCCCCCCTCTCCCCCATATAGTTGCATATGATCATCTATTCATACTAACGTTCTTGAAGTTGTGTGAGAATGCGTTTATTTTTCTGCAAATTTATTCAGCTTCCTCCCCCCCCCTCTCCCCCATATAGTTGCATATGATCATCTATTCATACTAACGTTCTTGAAGTTGTGTGAGAATGCGTTTATTTTTCTGCAAATTTATTCAGCTTCCTCCCCCCCCCTCTCCCCCATATAGTTGCATATGATCATCTATTCATACTAACGTTCTTGAAGTTGTGTGAGAATGCGTTTATTTTTCTGCAAATTTATTCAGCTTCCTCCCCCCCCCTCTCCCCCATATAGTTGCATATGATCATCTATTCATACTAACGTTCTTGAAGTTGTGTGAGAATGCGTTTATTTTTCTGCAAATTTATTCAGCTCCCCCCCCCCCCCCTCTCCCCCATATAGTTGCATATGATCATCTATTCATACTAACGTTCTTGAAGTTGTGTGAGAATGCGTTTATTTTTCTATAGATTTATTCAGCTCCCTCTTCAGAAGATGTCTATCGAAAATATTCTATATCAGCAGACCAGCAAGGGACCTGTAGTTTCCCTTTCGGCTAGTATCGACATATTAAAGATAAGGAAAATCGTTTTTTACGAGGCACACTTAGGTAAACCATTACCCTACGTTTCTAGACTGATCTCAAAACCCAAAGGCCTCCTGTATAAAAGAGGAATGGCTGAATTGATCTTGACCATGGGGGGGGGGGGGGGGGGGGGGGGGGGGTGTGTCGCAAGGGGGGCTGCGAAATGGAATTTAATAGAAAACCTAAACTTTTACCAGTGTCTGCACCCACACCCCGGAAATGTCGACCCCCCCCGACAATATCAATTGCCCCCCCCCCCCTCCCAGGAGAAAAAAGTCTGGAAGAAATACTGAGCCTGACAATTCAAGAAAAGGGGTCATCCATAAATGACGTCACGCTTTTTTGACGATTTTTACCTCCCCCGCTCCCTTCCGTCACACGTCGTCACAAAAAGCCAGCCCCCCCCCCCCTAAAATGACGTCACACCTCGGTCTACAACCCCTCTCAATATTGCTGTTGAATATTTCTTAAAACATCGATATTTTTCCAAAATCATGTCAGAACTCTGTTAACATAGAGTATTTTGATCAATTCCTATTACAATTTATTAAAACCGTTTTCTAAAACGCGAAATAACGGCTAAAACTCGTTTTCTAACATTGCTTTTTTATAATGAAAAAAAAAGTGACGTCACACCATCTAACCCCCCCCCTCTCATCACACACCGTCACAAAATTACGGACCCCCCCTCCCCCTACGAGTGTGACGTCATTTATGGACGACCCCAAAGGCTACCAACGTGAATTACGATCGATCTGTAGGTGGTTGACGGTCAACATACAACAGGTATAACTCAAACAGCAGATGTACAGGCGCTAAAGTTGACAGACCTTGTGAGAAAAATGCGCCTCGCACATGCCTGGCGCTGAGCTAGGCGACGATAGGTAAGCCAAGAAGTAGGATAGATCTACTTGCGTTCAGTTATTAAAAATGTGATATTAGGGGTACATAACATGACAGTTTTTAATTCGTAGTTTCAGTAGTGTTTGCTGTTTTTTTTTTATTGTTGTTGCTGAACTTGTTTTAAATTTTATTTAATTATTCTCCGAAAACGGAGAAGGGGGGGGGGTGTACATATGTCCCCGGGCGCCGATCCCTAGAGCCAAAATAAGCTCATTTAGCTGCTATTTTGAATTATAAACATAAAAAAATATATGGGGGGGGGGCGCCAAATTGAAAGTTTGTCCCCGGGCGCCGGGTGGGGTCGCTACGCCTCTGCCAACATGTCACCTTACTATATTGTTATGTTATCGAAAGGTGAAGAGATAGATAGTATTGATGACTGCAGTGTGGTAATTCTTCGGATGGTAATTTAAAAGAACAGGTTGTAGTCCTATTATTGGTTAAAAAAAAATAACATCAACTTTAAAATTCGTATCTACATAGACAGTGAGGGACGGCGTAGTCGAGAGTATCGAGTTCGGAACTTGGTTCGGACTTGTGACTATAGGACGTCCATGAGTTTATCAACCTCTCATAGGTACGGTGAGGAAAGTATAGACGCCTGGGCATAGTGCTGACCACACTATCCCTTCAAATGCAGGTGTCAAAAACATGAACTCTACTTCATCTGCTTGGATCGCTTGGTCTAAAGAGGAATCTTTACTTATACATACATAGCAATGGTCCTAGGACCTTTGACCACAGGTGCTTTGACCATAGGGGGTTTGACCATAGGGGGTTTGACCACAGCGGAGCTTTGACCATAGGGGCTTTGACCATAGGGGGTTTGACCACAGCGGGGCTTTGACCATAGCGGTGCTTTGACCATAGGGGGTTTGATCATAGGGGGTTTGACCATAGGGGGTTTGACCACAGGTGTTTTCTCAGCAGAGGGTCTTTGATCACATGTGGTCTATCAACTCGTGTTTGATCACAAGCGCTGTGTCGGGCTTTGATCATAGGTGTTTTGTCCACATAGGGTCTTTGATCTCAGGTGTTTTGTCCACATAGGGTCTTTGATCTCAGGTGTTTTGTCCACATAGGGTCTTTGATCTCAGGTGGTTTGTCCACATAGGGTCTTTGATCTCAGGTGGTTAGTCCAATGCTGTCCATATATGGTAAGGATTTATTTTAAAAGTTACTAAATTATATTTTAAATTTCGACTTGATGTAATATGTTAAATCATCATGTACAAATACAAGTCATCTAAACTACTCTATGTCAATTTGTTAACGGCATCAACCCTGCTGCGTTATACTGTCTCTTGACAAATAAAACACTACCCAGCTGAGAAGCGATACAAGATGCTGCACGAAAAAGTACAACGTGCTGTGCAGATATATGGTCAAACAGATGTACTGACATATTTGGTTGCTATAGCACATCTGTCATTTAGTTAACCATTTTATGTATTACATCTTTGACTATATTGTTGGCAAGTTTTGTATCATTTTTTATCCTTTATATATGCTATGTATTTTCAAGTACATCTACATTATTTATTTGTGAAACTTGTTATATAACGCATTATTTGTGATTCATTTATATTTAAAATAAATCTATGAGGACTAGCACCAGCCTTTATGTGGAGACTAAAATATAGTTCTTGGCTTTTTTTAAATACATGTTAATTTCTATTAACGTACTCTCAGGAAACATGTATAAAATCGTGTTAATTGTATCACACCTATGATCAAAGCCGGACACAGCGCTTGTGATCAAACACCAGTTGATAGACCACCTGTGATCAAAGACCCTCTGCTGAGAAAACACATGTGGTCAAACCCCCTATGGTCAAACCCCCTATGATCAAACCCCCTATGGTCAAAGCACCGCTATGGTCAAAGGCCCGCTGTGGTCAAACCCCCTATGGTCAAAGCCCCTATGGTCAAAGCTCCGCTGTGGTCAAACCCCCTATGGTCAAACCCCCTATGGTCAAAGCACCTGTGGTCAAAGGTCCGCGCACCCATAGCAATACCACGACCAGAGTTTCTACCAGGCATCTCTTCGGGGGGGGGGGGGGGGGTAAGCCCCCCCCTGAAAAAATTCTACCGCCACCCGAACGAAATGAAATTTATATAATTTATATATAAAATATATACTTTTAACAGTGTCCGCCCCCCCCCCGAAGAAAGTCTACTGCCCCCCCCCCCCCCCCCCCGAAAATTTCAAGTGCCCCCCCCCCCCCCCCCGGAGAAAAAAGTCTGGAAGAAACACTGACCACGACACACAAGACACACAATCCATACGGTCACAAGACTAGCCTTCACATGACTTCTGTCCCCCGGCCTCAGCTTCACCCCAGGGTATCTCAAACCCCTGCCTGATCTCCCTATATCCCGAGGGGTCACGTACCCAACTTAAACATACCTAAAATCAAACCTGAACTTGATGGCGTCTCGAAAGAATTGAAACACTAGTCTCTAACTATTTCAACTTGTATTTGGATAGCGGACATTTAAACACATTAGGGCCATTTTCAATACACCAACTGAAATATTTCTAACCCATAATAATAAAATATAATAAATAAAACGATAGCTGTATTTACATCTAAAATTTTAAAAAAGTATCTTCTTCTTCGTTCTTAATTTAGTGTTGGAAGGGATCCCCTCCAACACATTTAAGTATACGTGTCAACTTGTTATGCGCCTTTGAGACAATTGACTCCGATTTCAGCCTGCTTTTCTTTTTGGATTTGCCACCATAACCTTTGTGCAACCAAGAACAAACTACAGGGTAGAAGTTGTTTGATTTTGGAGTTGTCTATCCTAGAAGAGTGGCTGACCCATATTAAACAGTTAATCACACATACCCTTCTCAATGCTATAGTATCCCTATTATAACCAACATATTTTTTAATACACGCATTACAACACTACTTTCTCGAAGTTTCGAGTTTAGCAATGTCATGACAACGACAAACGCTCTCTAGAAAAAGTTGGCAGTAGTCCACTCTTGAAGGTTTAATTTTAAAAATGGAACACGAAACAAAAGAAAGAACTCATAAAGAAACGGATCAATTAAATATAAATTTGTTTTATTTTAGATATATTATTCACAAAAATGAGTTGAATATTCAGATTTTAATTAATTTGAAATTTCATTAAAAAATATAGATCGCAGAGTAGTTGAGAATGGATTGGTTGTAGGGTTAAATTAGTATCTCTGGCTGTTTTTCACAGGTAAAAGTTCCCCAGATTGTGACCAGATTTTACCTATGCTAAGCCTAGTTTCTTATCTTGCCATCCATTTCATTAGCCCTTTCCAAGGGGTCGGGTTCTGGCTGTGCCTGGGGTTCGGATCCTAGTTTTTCCTGTAGTTCGAATTCCGGTTGTTCTTCGGGTTCGAATTCTGGGTACACCTGTGATTCGTATTCTGGGTACTCCTTTGGTTCGTATTCTGGGTATACCTTTGGTTCGTATTCTGGGTACACCTTCGGTTCGTATTCTGGGTATGCCTGTGGTTCGTATTCTGGATATTCCTGTTGTTCGTACTCGGGGTATTCTTCTGATTCGTACTCATAATACTCCTCAGATTGGTATTCATATTCTGGGTATTCATAATCTTCGCTTTTCTTGGATTTCTCCGACGTCCGCTCCACGTCATTGTCAAGGTTCCTACCTGTATGGCGAAGGTGGGAAATACGAGATGAATTAGAACTGTGGAGAAAGTATGAGAGATAGATGTGGCATGGGTGACAGTGTGTGTGTGTGTGTGTGTGTGTTTGAGAGAGAGAGAGAAAGAGAGAGAGAGAGAGAGAGGGGAGCAGGACATTACCCCCCCCCCCGTCAATCACCACCCTGGACATCCCGCGACATTACCCTCCAGAGAATTTCTCCCCCCCCCCCCCCACGTCAATTCCCCCCGGTCCAGTTAGGGATAAGTTAAGAATAGGTTCGGGTTGGAGTTAGTGTTAGGGTTAGATAAAGGTCGAGAGTTAAGGTTAGGTTTGTAGTTGGGGTTTGGGGTTAGGGGGGAAGCATGGGGAAGGGGGTTATTATCCAGGGGAGGGGGGGTAATTGACAGTGAGAGACATATTTGTGAGATGGATATAGTTATGGCGAACGATAAAAAAACGAGAGATAAAGGAAGAGAGTACGAGGAAAGGTAGGGACCAGAGAAAGATGAGGCCAGAACAGCGGTTCTTAACCTGGGTTCGATCAAACCCCAGAGGTTCGTTGAGCCAGTCTCAGGGGTTCGGCGGAGGTCAAGACACACACCCGACTCATATCATCCACGATCGGATTTTGTCAATGCGGACGATAGAACTATTAAAAAGGGTTCATTGAATGTGCATATGAAACTGGTGGAGTTCGGTGGTTAAAAAGGTTAAGAACATCTGGGCTAGAACGATAGAGCCAAGAGGGTTAGAGTCAATATCTGGGTTTAGGTTAAGGGTAAGGTTAGGGTAATACAAAATACGTTATTCGAATACGTTATTTCAATACAATGACTTTAATAAAAACACGACTAATGTACAATGTCTAGTTTATTAATACGTCTATATACCCACATCTACAGTAGTTTAATTTGTAAAACAAAATAAATCACATCACCCAATTTAAAAGCGTCACCGGTCGCTAAAGCAACGAACAAAACCACAAACAAGAACTTGTAGTTTCCCATTGTTAACAAGAAAAACCCTCACAATTTGAACTGATTCGGAATCAGACCAGCATTTATACACAATCTTATAGGAATCAAATTGTGCCATGTGTTGTGTTGGGGTAAGTTGATACAGCATGAAAACGTAACAAGAAATAACTTGTGTTGATAAAGGGAAATAAGCGGGGATTAAAAACAGAGTAGTCGTTCTTGTTGGGATACAAGAGGATGAAAAATAAATCATAACACACGTTGTGACCTCAACATTTTAGTTCGAAAAATATAATTTTTTTTTGTTGTTCGTAAGTTTTTATATACGTTCTTTGAATTTCAACGATTAAGAAATTGGTTCTTCTATGCCACCTTCGCTTAGCATTTAGTAGAGAACATTGTTTCAATTTAAGCTGATATTTCTCTTTGGGTTTATGGCTATGGTCAATCTATGGTCTAATCCAGGGGTCGGCAACCTTTTGAGACTGAAGAGCCAAAAGTTAGAATTTTCAAAATTTCCCAGTTTTTTAAGAGCCACAACCTTTTTATTTCAAGATTTTATTATTTAAAATAAATAGCTTTAATTATGAAATAATATTTAATCATATAAAAACATACACATGTTTCGCCAGAATAATAAACTTAGTAATCAAATAATGTAACTATAGGTCACTCACGTCAAATTAATGATTACTGATATATACAAAAATGCATTCAGAATAAGACAACATTCCCCATTTAAAGACATTTGAAAAAGTCGGCACTTGGGCTTTGGGTCTGTGGGGCTGCTGTCAGCTGTCCGTATACTTTCTACTGCACATATTATAACTGATCTCTGATAAGTGTTTTAATTATGTTTAAAGTTGCTTTTCTTTACAGCATGATATTTGATATGAGCTTTGAAAATGAAATAATATAACTATTAATATTTGTGCAAGGAGCTGGAGAGCCGCATCTTGACGGCAAAAGAGCCGCATGTGGCTCGCGAGCCGCAGGTTGCCGACCCCTGGTCTAATCTGTAACCACACTGTTGTGTGCTGACGAAGACCTTGGGTCGAAACGTCCATAGTACTTGTAACTGCCTTTAACTTGTGAGGTAACTAACACTATCTGTTTTATTACTAATTGGTCAAGGTTAAGGATATGGTTAGTGGGGCGAGGGCTAGGGGTAAGGTAAAAATAGCTACATAATAAACACCGAAACTATCCTCAAACTTTGAGTACGGTATTATTTTAAATAAATAAAACTAGCACAGAATCTATTGAAAAATTGCCACAAAAGGAAGGTAAAGATTAACAGCATTGTTAATTATAAAGAAGACTACCACTGAAATTAAAACATGCAGCTTTAAAACTAAGCAAGTCTTTGCAGCTACGCAAAAGCGGAGACAATCTCATCAAAGAACAAATGCTGACTTTTGTAAGGTAATGTCTTAGGCATCTTTTTGTATGACAGTAAATACTTGAAAGCAGCCAGCGTTATCATACGATCACTGGAATATTTTCAAACTAAGTGTCTGTCATGGATAGACGACATCCATTGACCTAACACCATTTCCAATCTTCTTCTTCGTTCTTAATTTTAGTGCTGAAATGGATTCCCCCCCAACACATTTAAATATACCTGTCAACAGGTTATGCGCCATTTAGGCTGATGATTCTGATTTCAGCCTACTTTTCTTTTTGGATTTGCTTCCATAGCCTTTGTCTAACCAAGAACAAACTACAAGGCAGCAGTTGTTTGAATTTGGAGTTGTCTCTCCTCGATGGGTTGCTGTCTCTAGTTAACGAGCCTCATCTGCCCAGGGGTTCGAACTCGAGACTTTTTGGTTCAGCAACCATCCCCTACCATCTCTAATGATGGAGAAAAGGAGGCTGTTTTAGAATTAATGGAACGAAGATGGCACTGAATGTGCCATCAGGTAAGGAACAGTCCAGATAAAGTTACAGCAATGGCGCTGGATCGGACGCCGAAAGGGAAAGGAGGACATGGAAAGTCAGAATGTGACCCACGGCCAAATGGACGTTTGCCAGTAATGGCGTAGCCAGGAATTGGTCATGGGAGGGGTTCAAATATTTTTCCTTATGTATAAAATCATATATATATATATATATATATATATATATATATATATATATATATATATATATATATATATATATATATATATATATATAATATATATATATATATTATATTAAATATACAGGGGTGTGAGTCCATGGGAGAGGTTATAACCCCCCCCCCCTATTCCCCCCCCTTGCCTACGCCACTGTTTGCCAGAATACGTAAATACAACTTATATTACAATGGTATAGTAATGCATGGTATGGTACTGTATTGTAATGTGTGGTGTGTTATACTGGGTTGTACTGTGTGTTATACTGTGTTGTGTTGTGTGAGTATAATCCGGTCTGGTGAGCTTAGTTTGAGTGTTGTGTTGCTCTATGGTACATCACGGAACTGCCATTAATCAAAACGAGCCGTCCCGCGGCATATCATACGCCTCTATTTAGTTGTTTTATTTTCTACTTTTTAGTAATTCATAATTTGTGAATTCGACAGTACCAATGCTGCCACTGAATATATTTGCTTTAAAACACTATCAGTAGCTCGTTAAGAACGATAAACCCCCCCCTCCTTTCCCCAACCCCCTACCCCCCCCCGTGAAAGCAGCCTCCTCTTAGTTACCTCCCCTAAGTTCAAAATCGTTTCAAACTAAATTATCTGCCCCTAATAGCCGTCACTAAACCCGGCTCTACGATTGTAAACATTTTATCGTGAAGCACAGCTCACCAGACCATGTGGGTGTGGTAGGGAGCGCGCTTACAGCTTGGTGTTTTCTATTGTCTCCAAGAAGAGTATTATATATATAGATATTTCAAGAGTATTGACAGTGGTATAGTAATGTATGGTTTGGTACTGTATTGTAATGTGTGGTGTGTTATACTGGGTTGTGTTGTGTGTTATACTGGGTTGTGTTGTGTAAGTATAATCCGGTCTGGTGAGCTTAGTTTGAGTGTTGTGCTGTTCTATGGTACATCACGGAACTGCCATTAATCAAAATAGGATTTCAGACAAAGGGAGGTAACTGCGTATTTATTTTTGGGTATTTACAATGAGGCGAAGTAGATATTCAATATATTCATTTTTTAAAAATAGTAAGATGTTTGTATCTATTAACAGTTTACGCGTGTTTTTTAAACGAATTATTTAAAGAAAGTTTAAGTTTTTGAGCCTAGAAGACTCCTAAACACCATTCACGATCAGGTTCAGTTAATTTAACGCTGTTACCTTAATGATTTATAGAAGAGAGATGTGTGTTAATGTAGACATAAGCGATATCTATTGAGGTATAGGAGATGACAAATATAAACTTACAGCTTAAATTTCGCTGAGTTTTCTCAATCATGACGAAGCTCAGTCAATATTTTATAAAGTAATCGATGATCGCTGATGGTGACGTCATTTCGGTGTGGTTGGGGGAGTTTGGAAGAATTGGGGGGGGGGGGGGGGGGGGCAATAATTTAAGATCGTGACTTCGTTTATTGTCGACTCCTATGGTGTCTTTAAAAAACATTTTAGATTTTCCCAAATACTACACAACGTTTCTAAACCCCCTCACTCACCCACACCCCCGACCTTTTCAATGCAAGACTAAGTTTAGTAAAAAAAAACTTCGTTATATTTTACAATATAAGCTGGCGAATCAGAGCATTGCATTATTTTTTTAAGGCGAAAATTGTTCGTTTCAATTTCATAAAAGTTTTGTAAAATTAATCACGAGTTTAAAAAAAAATTGAAGCAATTGGGTCAGGGTGGCATGTTATTGTATTTTCCGTTGTAAAAAATTCCTTTTCAAACCTGACAGTCTACAGGGCAAGTGAAGTAGAGTTTACTTGTTTCTGTAAATTCTTTTGTTTCTCCTCTTAACTTGATATTATATACTATGTTAAAAGGGAAAATAAAGTTTATTACCAGTTTATTTAGTGCAACGTTATTTCCCCTTATTATTACACCGCTCTTTTATTTTATTTTATTATTTCCCTTGATTGGCCATGCTTATGGCACACTAAAACAGGTAACAAAAATTTATTATTTTTATCTTTTTTAAGCCCGTATAAAAATAAGTTTTACACCGTTGTTTAATTTAGTTATTTTTTTAAAAATTATTACTTCAAATCCAGTGTAGTCCGCTCGTAGTCCGCTCGCAATATTTATATATATATATATATATATATATATATATATATATATATATATATATATATATATATATATATATATATATATATATGGTGTGACACCATTTAGGGGGTGTGACACCAAGGCAAAAATAGCAAAATATATAGAGAAAAAAAAAGTGTTTCAGGAGGTGCAAATCGAAAGTTTGAGGGGGGGGGGGGGGGGGGAAATCGAAAATTGAAAGATTGTCCCCGGGAAGTGTCGCTACACCTCTGGGGGGTGACTCCATTAAGTGCCGCACCGGGTGACACCCGACCGCGCTTCGCCACTGTATATATATATATATATGTATATATATATATATATATATATATATATATATATATATATATATATATATATATATATATATATATATATATATATACTATATATATATATATATATATAGGCCTATATCTATTCAATATTTACTTTTCTGTAGTTTATTTTGGTCATGTTTGAAATAGTTGTATGTAAGAAAATTCGACAATAGAACACCTAAAAAAAATGTCAGTAATTTTTCTGTCGAAACATGGTTTTGGGTCAAAAATGTCTGTCATTAAACTAGTGTTTCTTTTACTTTTTTTGGGGGGGGGGGGGGTTTGATTGGGGATATTGATAAGACATCGTACCCAATAGCCGGTTATACGTAGTAGAGAATCGTCACGATGTGTAAATAGAGGGGGGCGGGGGGCGGAAGAAAAGACACATGTGTTAGGCAACATCCGACGTAACTACGTCACTAGAAATAAAGAAAAATGCGAATTATTAATTATTTGGAACGATGAGAAATATTAAATCAACACAACT